CTTAATGGGGGGGTCACAAATGGGGGGGTCAGAAAAGGTCCCCTTTCGTGCCCATTTCGGGCCCCTCCAGAGCCCCAGGGGGCTCGTTTAGGTACCGTTTGGGTACCTTTTCGAACCACCCTCGCCACCCCCCCCATTTATGACCCCCCCTCATTATGCGCCCCCCAAAAAGCCGCAGATCTGGGGAGTCCGGTTTTTGGGGGGGGACGGGTTTTCCCCCCGCCCAGGCTTATAAAATATAGGAAAAGGAAAACATAGAAATATGTGTGTGTGTGTGTGTGTGTGTGTGTGTGTGTGTGTGTGTGTGTGTGTGTGTGTGTGTGTGTGTGTGTGTGTGTTTTTGAAGCGGAGCTTGAGCTATGCGGAAGAGAAATCAGATTCCGAGCGCCATGCTGCCGTGCCTTGATCCGATTGGTTGAAACAATTCCCTTCGTCGTCGTCGCCCCCCCCCCTCTCCCCCGTGCGTCGCCCAATCGCTGGCTTTCGCCGCTTGCGCAATTGCGAGCGGGGCCGCCGCTGCCTGTGACGCGCATGCACCGCAATGGCGTTTCCGCGCACGTGGCGAACCGCCCGCTGCCAAGGGCCCAGCTGCGCGACCGCGTGGGTGGTCGGAATGGCAGAGTGCAAGCACATGAAGGAGTGGCGCGCCTCGCTGCAGGGTCTCGGCCTCGACTGCAGGGGCGACTACTCGCGGGGCGTCGAGCGCGCGGAGGCCAGCGACGCGGGCGACATGGCGAACAACTTGTCACTGCTAGTCCCCGTGTTGGCGCAAGTCCATGGGTTTCCTCCCCAGGTCGTGCGAATGCCCCGAGTGCGCTGGCGACGACTGCATGCCCGTTTACCGCCAGGACAAGCGCACTTGGGCGCGGCGCTGTCGCGATTGCGATTCTGGGTGCTCGTCGCGCATGCCGAAGGGCCATGGGTCCATGACTGCTGGCTCGATTCAGAATTTCTGCAGGGCCCAAGTGTCGTCGTTGGAAAATTCTTCGGCGTCGAGGTCATGTGGATCTTGGACTACCCCTGCCTGCTGACGGAATGGGAGTCGGGCGTTACGTGCCGGACGCTTGACGGCCGGGTGTCGCCCTTGCAGGGCAAGGTGATTCAGGCGCTCAACACCATGCTGTCCATACCTGGGTTCTGGCCGAAAGCGAACAAGAAGCCGAAGAGCGCGGCGGCGGCCGAACCCCGCGGCGAGAGGTCGTTCGCCAAGAAGAAAGACAATGTTGCTGCGAAGGCGGCGGCGCAGAGGAAGAAGGCCGGCATCGCGTTGGCCAAAAAGGCCGACGTCTCCAAATTCAAGGTCGTGGTGCAGGTGGACGAGGCGCACCTCGACATAAAGAAACCTGGCGATCTCCAGTGGGCCGCCCGCGCGCGAAAAGACCAGGTCTGGGTCTGGGGCGCAACGGTGCATGATCGCTCCGACATCTGGTTCTTCCGCATTTTGGACCACCCGAGCGACGCCCTCGATAGGAAGCCCCGCGGGCACAATGAGATGCTGACCAATTTCCACATGTTCGGCATGCGCAACACGACCATCCTGGTGAGCGGCTCCTGGACGGCCACGGTGTCCGCGTTCAAAGCGTTCAAGAAGTGCAAGGTCTCGACTCCAAGGGACATCGAGCACGAGCTGGTGGTGCACTCCGAGGGCGGAATCGAGGACCCCCGCGGTTTCACCACGAACGGGATTGAGTCCGTGTGGTCTGCGGTGAAGCGTTGGGTCCGCCGCAAGTGCGGCGGGCGGTCGGCAGAAGTGGCGCGACCTGCTCGCCGAGCTGCAATGGCGTAAACTGGCGGCCACCCTGGCGCTCGACTGCGGCCATACTTCTTCGTCCCATTTCGCTCATTCACCCGCGCGTGCGCGCCAGAGCCGCAACAACTGTTCCAGGGGTATTGTTCAGACGCTGTCGCGCCAGTCGTCCAATGTATGGTATGACGCTCGCGACGTGCGAGGTCACCCGAGAAAAGCCCGCTACCATCTTCATAATTTATGGTTTGCCATTTTGCAGGCCCCCCTTTCACCCGACATAGAACGACATACCAAAACATACACACGGACAGATGATCCAACTCATTCGCAAGACATGCGTACTTTCCTGCACCTGAGCACGCGATGGTGCAAGGTACTTCCGCGCAGGCGCTTCCTTGACACAGTAAAAAATCAAACGGGCAATCCAAGACAACTTAGAACATATGTGCGAACTGGAAACATGGAGATATAAAAGGGGTTCGCAATTCCGTTCTGACGTTTCTTTGACAAGGAGCGGAACAATCTATTCGCAAAGGGGCGAGTGAACCTAAGGACGGTAAACAAGGGACATGGAGGTAAACAAAGGACATGCAAAGGCAGAAACAAGTGGCAATAACGCATCCATAACATACTTGCTTGCTTATCGCACGCGGTGAATTTTTGTATTTCTGCGCATGCGCTTCCTTGGACCATTGGTACCGCAAGAGAGACAATCCGGTAGTCAGCGTGGCCCCAAACAGTGTGCTCTAGCATACCAGACGATGTAACGTATGTGGTGCGAGCTAGGTGGTGCAAGCTGTGCGGTGGAAACAAGGTGGTCCAATATACGTGGTGCAAACCATGTGGTGTAAGCGAGCCCTCAGGTCCGCCCGTAGGCCAACGGGCCCAAGCAGGAGCCACGCCCGCAGGCCCCACGCGCCAGAGTGAAGAACCAGCTCCCTATGCTGGGGCGAGCGGCGGCAGGCCCCGGTCGCCCGCACCGCCCACAGTCTAAGCGGTGCAGCCTATGCAGTGCCATTAATCTTTGACCGTCTTGAAGCTGTCCTCTCCACTGCTCGTGCAAACATCCCACCCTCCCACCCGCAACTTGGTCGCAAGACCTCTTAAGACAAGACCGTGACGGTACGTACCACATGACACTTGGCCACAACGCCGACGCCGACGACGACAGCGACAACGACGACGACGGCGCCGCCGACACCGACTACGACGACACCGACGACGTCTCCAACGACTTCGACGACGACAACGACGACACCGACGACGACGACGACGACGTCAACGACGCCGACGACGACGACGACGGCGACTACGACGACACCGACGACGTCTCCGACGACTTCGACGACGACAACGACGCCGACGCCGACGCCGACGAAGACGACGACGACGACGACGTCGCCTACGAAGACGACGACGAGGGAGGAGGAATGACGACGACGGCGACAACGACGACAACGACGACAACGACGAGGGAGGAGGGAAGACGACGACGACAACGGCGACGACGACGACGGCGACGAAATAGGAGGGACGACGACGAGACGCCGACGACGGACGACGACGACGACGAGGGAGGAGGAATGACAACCACGGCAACAACGACAACGGAAACGACCACGACGCCAAAGAGGACGACGACGACGACCACGAGGAAAGACAGAGGATGACGTAGGCGACGACGACGACGACGCGGGAGGAGGGAGGACGGCGACGACGACGACGACGACGCAAGAGCGCGCGCGCACGCTTTTGTTGAAAATCCGTGTTGCGACATCTTGTGTTTTCGTAGGTTTTTTGGACACACGATTTTGAAATCCTTCCGAAACCTATGGGTTTTGAAAGTTTTCGGCATACGCGCGCGACGACGCGCGCGTCTGCACTTCTGATTTTTTGCAGAGGAGTCTCGCGACGGCACACGCGCAAGGGCGTTCGACAGATTTCGACATGCGCGCGCGCGAAGCCCGTTTGATAG